GGGTGTCTGGGTGCTAGAGACAGGAGCACTTGCTAAGCCGTTTTCAGTTAAGTCTGCAGCTTTGGGGGTGTAGGTCAGACCCTGGGTCTGTGTTGCAACAGATTAGCATATCTGGCTCAACAAGACAGGGTTCTGAAGTCCCAAGCTGGCAGAGGAAACGGGCTCAGAGGTAGTCTCAGCACATCAGGTGACAGTCCCAAGGGGGTTTCTGTGACCAAACCCGTCAAAATAACCTTAAACAGAAAGAAGATTTATTAAGGGAAAGTTACAACAGGGGGAAGATTCACTAATGGGATCACTACAAATACCTAAGAATAGATTCCAGCAAGGAGCATAAAGCCCAGACCCTTAAACCGTCCCTTGGTTAAACTATTAAGTGCCCAAAAAACAATGACTGTCTCTCTTCTACTGCAGATGGAGGACACTGGCAACTGATGGGCCGTCTCAGAATCTCAGGAACATCGGAGGATCTGGCTCTCTACCGCCAAAGCAGGAGATCAACAGATCTGGGCTAATGGCAAAGCCTTCACTGGATCTTTTGGTAGAATACAGGAATCAGGTAAGTATCAAAGTCCTTGGCAGGTGTTAGTAGCCGAAGTCTTGATCCAGTGCTCTTGATCCGATGGTCTTGTTCCGATGCCGCGCAAAGAAACTGGATGTGGTTGCCTTGATGGTGGACGGCAGCGTGTCATCGCTAACAGTTCCTTATATGCTCTCTGTGGCACGAATTCCTGAGGCACACTCTGGCAGACACTGCCCCCAACCGGTTCCAGCCAGCTCTCAGTCCCTCAAGTTCTGGCAGGAAACAGAGTTTTGGCGGGAAAATGCCATGAAGAAAGGATACCAAGATGGAGTTCAAACCCTTCCTACCACATGCACCATCTTGAATTCTTAGACTCCATTTTGAATTACAGCAACGTTAATTATAATACATAACAAAGGTATAACTGTACACCAATAACACCTTACAACACGGAGCCTCCCTTGCCACCCCTGTGCCTAGGAGCCGGATATGCCGGCCACTTCTCGAGAACCACGCGGAGCCAGAGCAGGCAGGGAGCCTGCCTTAGCCCCGCTGCGTTGCTGACCGGACTTTTAAATGCCCAGTCAGCGGTGCTGACCAGAGCCACCAGGGTCTCTTTTCGACCAGAGGTTCTGGTCCAAAACTGGACGCCTGACAACCCTACATTAACTTCAGTGGTTGAAGGTTTAGTTACATGGTCCTCTGCTCTTGCCAGATGGTATAGGTGGGTTGACTTCTGCCCATACAGAATGTATTGCATGATGAATCCTGCTCATGTGCCACCTGAGGCACATTGCACATATGCTAAGAAGATCAGAAGCTTAGATGGCAGGCACTTAAGAGTAGGAATATACATATAACCTGCTATGAACACTATGCTGCAATACTACATGAATAACAATAAATTTAAAAAAATGTTTTATGCTGGGTCATATTATTCCAAATAAATCAATTGATCAGAGTAAAAAAGAAAACAAAACCAAATTCCAACATCAATGCTGTATTATACTTTTCCCTAATTTGAATATTGTGTATTTATATAGCATTACCAGTGGGCAAGTATCAGAGGGCAAGGTATCACAGAGAGAGCAAATACCCACCACACTGAATATCTTAGAATCAAATTCAATGTAGTTTTTAGGCTGACTTCATTTTACCTGAGATCTAAAGATCAGCAGGTGCCAGTGACAGATACCATGTTGCTACCCTCACTGCAGGAAGCTCCTCGTGTTGCCAGGCAGTGAGTAAATACCTCTGGTACCCTTTAAGCTACTGTCCTGCTATTTGGAGAGGACTGGGTGGGAGGCAAAAAGTCCTAGTTCTAATCTTGGCTGTATCTGTGGCTCAGTGTCAAGGCACTTTTCTGTCTCTGTTTCTTTGTATGTAAAATGGTGAGAATATTTATAAGGCTTAATTACACACAAAAAACTACATTAAAAGGACATTATTACGAGTGGAAAGCCAAACACTCAAAAGTTAGGGAATGCCAGAATTAAGGTTATCTGTGCAACCTTAATTGAGCCCTCTTGTGCATATGTATTCTGGTAGTCTTTAATTACATGATCCCATGCTGTATACTCCACAGGACTCCTGCCAAAGGCCCGGTCCTGACACAAAGGCCAGCCCTTTCCTCGGCCAAACTTCAAGTCCGTGCTGGGGCATCAGAGCATTTCAATTAAAATGTCTCAAGAATTTAACAAGAGCAAAACAATGTATATTACCTAGTCTCATTTCTAAAAACAGTTGAATGATTTTGGGTGACATTAAAAAAAATTAGCCTGAGACAGACACCCAGCATGAAAACAACAAGGAGTCCGGTGGCACCTTAAAGACTAACAGATTTATTTGGGCATAAGATTTTGTGGGTAAAAAACCTCACTTCTTCAGATGCATGGAGTGAAAGTTACAGATGCAGGCATTATATAATGACACATGAAGAGTAGGGAGTACCTCACAAGTGGAGAACCTGTTGACAGGGCCAATTCAATCAGGGTGGATGTAGTCCACTCCCAATAATAGATGAGGAGGTGTCAATTCCAGGAGAGGCAAAGCTGCTTGTGTAATGAGCCAGCCACTCCCAGTCCCTATTCAAGCCCAGATTAATGGTGTTGAATTTGCAAATGAATTTTAGTTCTGCAGTTTCTCTTTGAAGTCTGTTTCTGAAGTTTTTTTGTTCAATGATAGTGACTTTTAAATCTGTAACAGAATGACCAGGGAGGTAGAAGTGTTCACTTACTGGCTGATTTGTGTCCATTTATTCTTTTGTGGAGAGACTGTCTGGTTTGGCCAATCTACATGGCAGAGGGGCATTGCTGGCACATGATGGCGTATATAACATTAGTGGATGTGCAGGTGAATGAGCCCTTGATGGTGTGGCTGATGTGGTTGGGTCCTCTGATGGTGTCGCTAGAGTAGATATGGGGACAGAGTAGCCAATGAGGTTTGCTACAGGGATTGGTTCCTGGGTTGGTGTTTCTGTGGTGTGGTGTGTAGTTGCTGGTGAGTATCTGCTTCAGTTTGGGGGGTTGTCTGTAAGCGAGGACTGGCCTGCCTCCCAAGGTGTGTGAGAGTGAAGGATCATTTTCCAGGATAGGTTGTAGATCGTTGATAATGTGCTGGAGAGGTTTTAACTGGGGGCTGTATGTGATGGCCAGTGGTGTTCTGTTATTTTCCTTCCTGGGCCTGTCCTGTAGTAGGTGATTTCTGGGTACCAGTCTTGCTCTGTCAATCTGTTTCCTCACTTCCCCGGTGGGTATTGTAGTTTTAAGAATGCTTGATAAAGATCTTGTAGGTGTTTGTCTCTGTCTGAGGGATTGGAGCAAATTCGGTTGTATCTTAGAGCTTGGCTGTAGACAATGGATCGTGTGATGTGTCCCGGATGGAAGCTGGAGGCATGTAGGTAAGTATAGCGGTCAGTAGGTTTCCGGTATAGGGTGGTGTTTATGTGACCATCACTTATTTGCACTGTAGTGTCCAGGAAGTGGATCTCTGAGGTTGATGGTGGGGTGGAAATTGTTGAAATCCAGGTGGAATTCCTCAAGGGCCTCCTTTCTGTGGGTCCATATGATGAAGATATCATCAATGTAGCGCAAGTAGAGTAGGGGCGCTAGGGGACGAGAGCACTGTTCTAAGTCAGCCATAAAAATGTTGGCATACTGTGAGGCCATGCGGGTACCCATAGCAGTGCCACTGACTTGAAGGTATAAGTTGTCCCCAAATCTGAAATGGTTGTGGGTGAGGACCCAACATGAGAAATTCCAGCCCAAATGGTTAAAGATTGGCACAGTTATCTGCAACTGTAAACAGGGTCATGTAAGGGGAAACGTTCGGCAACTTTAACAGCGCTATGTCTACGGTGCTGTGAACATGCTTTAATCATGCTCAGTGTTATTGTTCTGCCCCCATCCCATCCTCTGGAGTTCCTATGGGGTGGGGTCCTCCTGGAGGAGTCAATTTTGGAAGAGCCAGAGATAAATAGGCTTGACAACTCTGACTGAAGCTATTCCGGAAGATCCCCTCCCCACCATGATATAATGCCATTTTCTTAAAATATCCTATTCAAAACTTCTGGATTGCTTTAAATAGTCACCAGGAAAACGATATCGATTCTGGGAGACTCCAGGCCAATCCTGGAGGGTTGGCAACCGTAGAGGTAAAGGTGGGAAGGGATCTATGATCCTGACTTGGGCATGCAGCAGCAGCGGCCTCTTTTGCCAGACCCAGCGACTACTGCTGTCGGTGGCCAGAGACAACAGGGGTCTGGAGGCGGGAGAAAAGCCAGAAGCTGCGGGAGGGCAGAGCCAGCAGGGACTTGGGAAGGTAACGAGGGCCAGTCACGGCAGGGGTAAGTTAGCTGCATGTACATGGGGGGGCAGGTTTCAGAGTAACAGCCGTGTTAGTCTGTATCCGCAAAAAGAAGAACAGGAGTACTTGTGGCACCTTAGAGACTAACACA